CCAATTGTTTCCCCGTGTCCTTTGACCCAAATAAGGGTAATTCTTGAATATCTCGCCATCTCGTTTAGAGACGCCCGGCATTCTTGGACAAGTTTTGATGTAGAATACACACCTATCAGGGATTTGATAGCGGCTTGACTGTCAGTATAAATTCTGATATCTCTGTTGGATATCCGATAGTACCTAAGCCAATTAGAAGCCCTTTTTATAGCTGAGATTTCAGCCTGCAAAATAGTACATTCGTCGTTGAGTCGGAAAGAGATTTTCGTCCCGAATTCTTCAATGAATATGCCCCCGCCGACACCTTTAGTTGTTTTTGAGCCATCTGTATATACATTAAAGCTTCCAACACTTTCAGGTGCTAATTCATTATAATCGCAGATTAAACTATACCGGAAGTTCCTCGATATGCACGGTTCCGGAATATGGTAGTCAATAGCTTGATGTAGGTTTGGTACAAGATCTACAATCTTTGCATGACCACTGGAACCGTAGTTCCATCTATTCGTAATACTTAGTCTGGCTGCAGTATTCATTGCCAGTTGTTTAGCAAGAAGATCCACAGGCAGCCAGTTCAGCATGGCAAACAACGCTTTACTGGGCGTAGTCCTAAGTACACCTGTTATGAGAAGAGCAGATTGTCTCATAACTTTGGTAAGAATGTTTCTGTTAGATATTCTGTCAAGTGCATGCCACCAGACAATTACACCATACATCATTATCGGTTTAATCACCGCCTCATATAGCCAATTCACATTTCCTGGGTTGATACCCCAATGCAGGCCAATAGCCTTTCTACAAACGTATAACGCCGTAATGGCTTTGGAAGATCTGGAGATGATATTCAAGCTCCAAGACAATTTTCTGTCGAGAATAACACCTAAGTATTTTGCGCTATCCGACAGTGTGAGAACCTCACCGTTGAGGCGTGGAAGGGAGAATTGAGGAATTTTGTATTTATTTGTGAACAATACTAGTTCCGTTTTTCCTGGGTTTACGCTGAGACCGCATTTAACACTCCATGAGCTTATTATCTTCAGCGCTTCTTCCAATCTCTGAGACAGAGTCTCAAGATGCGTACCAGTTACCGCTACTGCAACATCGTCAGCGTAGGCAACCGTCTTAAAACCTAGTGAGTCAAGTTTGACCAATAGTTCATTTATTGCCATATTCCAAAGAATAGGGGACAACACCCCTCCTTGAGGAGTGCCCCGGATGGCTTTTTTACAGATTGTTGTATCACCCAGTGAAGATACAATAGTCCGTTCAGATAGCAAGTTCTTTACAAAACTCACAATGGATCGTTCCACACCCATCTGTGAGAGGGATTGACAGATAGGTGAGGATCTGACGTTATTAAAAGCGCCCTCAATATCGAGAAAGGCAACCAGAGTGAAGTTACCATAGCTCATGTACTTTTCAATGTACCCAACCAGGGAATGTAAAGCCGTCTCAACAGATTTACCTTTCGTGTATGCATGTTGAGAGTTTGAGAGTAGAGATTTGTCAATAGATATCCTGACATTGATATCAATTATCCTCTCCAGAGTTTTAAGCAAGAATGACGCCAGACTGATGGGTCTGAAGTCTTTTGCCTTGGTGTGAGATGTCTTTCCCCCTTTTGGGATAAAGATCACGTTACACCTGGTCCACTGTACAGGTATGTAGGACCAGTATAAACAGGCCTTGTAAATATTACTTAGCCAGGGAATGATACGATCTAAATTATTTTGTAGATCCGCTGGAATAATGCCATCAGGGCCCGGAGATTTATAGGTGTCAAAACTCCTTATTGCCCAGCGAATGATGTCATCATCTATCATAACATCTTCAGCAGTATTATCTAGTTCAATACCATGCTGATTATCTGCAATTGATTCACCAGTTGGGATACAACCAGGAAAGTGAGTATTCAAGAGAAGCTCAAGTGTCTCTTGACTACCTGCAGTCCAATTTCCGTCCGCTTTTTGTATATAGCTTGGGACGGAAGGAGATTTAGACAGGATCTTACGAAGACGACTCGTATCTGACGAATTTTCTATAGAACTACAGAATTTTCTCCAGGAGCTACGTTTCGCACTTCGTACCTGATTTTTAAATTCATTAACTTTTGACTTATAAAGAGACCAGTTACCAGATCTCTTTGCCTCGTTAAATAATTTACGACATAACCTTCGAGTTTTCGCAATTTCGGGATCCCACCAAGGGGGTTTGCCCTTAAACATACCATTTGATAATCTACAAGCCCTTTTTGTGGCTACACTAATAGAGCTTGAGATCCAGTTAACGGCTAAATCAATGTCACTTCTACTTTCTATCGTCGGAGCAGTAGGAAGAATATCAGTCAAGGTCGCTTTATGTACCTCCCAGTTCGTCTTTCTCCTATTGAGAAATGGTTTTATAATCTTTGCCTGAACCACTATTTCAAATTCTATATAGCAGTGATCAGAGAAGGAGCATTCTTTTGAGACCTTCCAACCCTGAACTAGGTCAATATGGTTTGCATTCACAACCGTTATATCCAGTACCTCCTTTCTATTTGCAACTATGAAAGTGGGTTCTGAACCTCTATTTACTATTACTAGGTTATTATCTAATAGAAAATCTAAAAGAGACTCACCTCTTGAGTTAATGTCTGAGCTTCCCCAGACCGTGTGGTGCGCATTTGCATCTGCACTCATGAGAAGCGGAATGTGTCGCCTATCTGCCTCACACACAATTTCCCTCACCAAATTCAAATATAAGAAAGTCCTTAAAAAGCTTTTGTCAATCAAGATGGAATACTTTCTATTATCTGTTGTCGTCATTAAAAAGCAGCTGGGACGAAGTTGTTTTCATATTACAAGAAAGGCATGAAATCCATCGTATACAGAATATTGATTTAAGAAATATAACTGCTGTGTTGGATATAATTCGACCCTTTGAAGAAGCCTCGAAGATACTAGAGGGAGAGAAATATCCAACAATTCATTTGGTCTACATTTATGTAAACAGCCTTCAAAAGAAATGCGCTGAAAACAACGAGGATATAAGTATTGCCCAGGCTTTGAAAAGCAAGCTTAGGCACTACTTGGATACTGTAGTTTTTTCTAATTTGTCCATCTGGCATCGAGTTGCTCTATTCCTGTTCCCCCCTGCAAACAAATTGCTAAGTTTTTCTGAAGAAGATCGAAATCTTATAAAATTAAAATGTATCGAGTTGATACAAAGCCTAGTACAGAATTGTGAGCCTATAACAGAACCACAACAACTGTCAGTAGCCTCAATCTCATCGAAAAATTTAGAGCTGTTTTCAGATTTTATTCGATCATCTGATTTTCAAACCAACGAGGATTTAGTGGCCTCAGAGTTGAGACGATACGAAAACACAGAAGTGTCATTTTTTGATGATTTCGACACACTTAAGTGGTGGGATTCGCATAAGAACGAGTTCCCCTTTTTACACAAATTAAGCTGCCGAATCTTAGCAATACCAGCAAGTAGCGCACCTTCAGAACGGGTTTTCTCTTGTGCCCGCAACGTAATTTCTGAAAAAAGATGCTCCATTGCCTCAAATGATATTGCTGTAAATCAAATTATTTTCTTACACATGAATCACAAAAAATACGCTGTTCCACAAGAAGAAGGTGCTCTCAGTGCTAATATATAATTATAAGAATCCTTATATTTCATATTTTTTCACTTTACAGTAGTTTTGTTTACATCTCTAAATAACATTCAAATATAATTATTACATGAGTTAAATTAATAAAATATACATATATACATAACAATAATGCATTTTATTTGTAATCTCGCTATAGAAATTCATAAGAACGGTAATTCGTTCAAAGAATTGCATTCTAATTAAAACACATAATAAATCCTTCTATAATTCGATTCACTCGCTGTTTTGCACTCGATTTGAAACACAAAAACACTCTCAATACTCATATCATACAATACTCTTTACATTCATGTATTTTACTTTATTTGAATTTTTTGTCATATACATTTTTGTTTTGAATAAATTATTATATTCATTCAAAAAACAATGAGTGAGTCAAAAACAGTACTTTCAAAAAATTAAATGTTTTAAAATATTATTTAAGTCACTCATGCAGGGCTCTATTAAATAGCCGTAATTGCTTTCATATCTTCTATGAACGATATCTTCCAAATGTTTGTAGGGTTGTTACCATTTCAACTTAGGTTTACAAATTATATTTTATGAAATTGTGACCTTTTTCAATTGAAAAGTTCAAGTTTTAATAATATAATTCATAGAATATAAAACAAAGTTTGCGATAAGAAATTAGACATAATTATGTTTGTATTTTTGCCTCTAATTTATTAAATTAAGAAAAAATACTTTAAAAAGTTCATAGATGAGCAGTTATCTTCCACATACATATGCACATATACATAAGTAAACAAAATCAACTATAGTTGTTTTAAGATTGTTTTTTCTTGTATCGAAAAGTTAAACAGACAATCTTCAGTGGAATTTTAAGTCTTTCATTTCTATGCAAAATATTTTATAAAACTTTAAGCAATAATAAGAACAAAATCATTCTAACAAATTGAATTTTTCCAAAAATTTAAATTCACGATCGCAACGTATAATTAATAAAATCCGACAATATACAAAAACTTACCAGACTTTAAAATGAAAGCTATTAATTAATAAGTATGGCAACATAAAACCTCTTTCAATTTCATTTTCTTATGCAAATTCTTTATTTTAGTAAAACAAGAAATAACAACACACAACAGAAAATAACACAAAAATAATGCAAAAAAGCGAACACATAAAAACAAGAAGATAAAAAGTAATACAGTTTTTTATTTTATCCCCAACGCGAAACAACGCAAACTAAAAATTGCATAGAAAATAAACCCCAACTCCCCAAAAAATTACAAACAGGTAGATACACATACATTTCCATTAGTTTAAAGAAGTGTCCAACATTTTGTTAGCTTTAATTTGTTTAATAAAATATTTCTTTTTTATTCGTTACCTTTTATTTTTCTGTTTTTATTAATCACTCACAATTCCCGTGTTTGCTCAACTATAATATAAATTCGTGTTAACAAATCACAACACCTTTTTATTTTCCGTGTTGCAAATTTCTTATTTATTTATAATTTTAATTATATTTTTCCACGCGTTCGAAAAACCTTCGTTGTCTGCTTATGAAATGGAATTGATGTGAAAACAAGAAGAAATGTTCCAAAATACCAAAACAAGGCGAATGAAATACATAAAGAAAAAATGTCGTGCAAAAAAACCTTCTGAGTGTTAGCAATTTAGCGAGTTTTTTCTAACAGTTGGTAAAATCGTTGACATAATTTTTTAAACCCTTCATTTACCTCAGTGAAAAAGGTATATGTATACAAATTTGTCATTCCGTTTGTAATTTCTACAAACATTGTTACACTATAAATATATATATTCCGAGTTCTTATAGATAGCTGAGCCGATTTAGGCATGCCCTTTACTTAATCAGTCCGTATGTTAAAACCAGTTTTCAGAAAACCTTAGGTATTTGCGAGAACGTTCGTTATTTAAAATCGGTCTATAACCTCGTGTCTATATTAGACAAATATTTGTCACAGCACTTGACAAAACGTCGTCAGTTTTTTGTTTATGTTAAAACATAAGGGTAACAAAATGCTGATCGACAACACACAGATAATTTTACTGAAATAATGTTATATTTTATAAAAACAATTAAATTTAAATGCAAATTTTGTAAATAAACACTAATTACACTAAAACATATGTTAAAAATCAATTTTAATTGCACAAAAATCAAAATTCTATAAAAATTATACAATACAGTGACGTTTGTTATCAAGACAACGTTGTCACAGGGTATACAGAGGCGTCACGAGCAAAAAGCTATTTTCCTCTCTTTCGCACAAAACGATTTCGATTATTTTTTTAGCTGTATTTTATATACCTCTTCTCACCAAACAGTTTCAAAATCAAACAAAAGCTGATTTTAGACTTTTTTAAATGTCAAAAGTGACACCTCTGCATACTTTGTGACGTTGTCTAAACAATTGTTTAGACAACACTGTCACAGCGACGCTAAAACACTAATAAATGCTGTGATCTGGTCCACACTAGTAAACTTTTGTTGAGAAACTTTTTCTTAATTCTCTTTTGAAGTTTCCTTAATGTCCACACATAGAAACTTTTGTTTCAGAAACTACGTATTAATTGCATTAATTTGTGTTGTACGAATGAGAAAAATATCAAAACAAAACAAGTTTCCGAGTACGAGAAACTCCGTACCGCGAGAGTGATGAATGATATTCATTCTCTCTCACTCAAAATCAAAAGTTTCCCAAAAAAAGTTTCCTAGTGTTGACCGGCAGTGTCTGTACCTGCTAATTTTTTGTCATAACAATTGACGTTTAGCATAATAAATATTTGTCTAATATAGACAGGGGCTAATATTAATAGAAATAGAACCTGGATCGTAATTGACCATAGTTTCCATATAAGGTCCACTTCCGAAAATCAATCAAACGAATCTAATTCATTACGAACAATTATTACCCTTCTATTTATCAGAGCTGTAAATTAATCTTTCATGTTTGAATTAATTCGTGAATTATTTGTGAATTGAATTAGCAAATTTTGAATTAATTCTTTTTACATATGAATTTCATTTGAATTGGAAACGAATTGCAATTCATTTACCAAATTCATTTGAATTGGAAATGAATTACAATTCATTTTTACCAAATTCATTTGAATTGATTCAAATGAATTAAATCAGAAATGAATTTGCAGTTCTGCTATTTTTATACAAAGATTTTTAATTTTCTGCTTTTTCATTTCAGCGTTTTATACTTTAGCACAAGTCGTTAACACTGTGGAAGTTTGACAGCAAAATTTCAAGAGGAAGAAAATATTTATTCTTCACAATTTAAGAGAAATCGCCAGTGAATCAAAACAACAATTACTCTTAACGTAAGTGTATCAATCATACAACTGCATACATTTTTTAAAAATATTTTTCCATTTATCATTGGGAGGTCGTACCGACATTAATAAAGAAAACAAAAGTAATTTAGCTTTATGCTAAATTTATAATACATATTTTGTGCAAAGTAAACAAAAGAATAATAAACAGACAAAAACAATGTTTCATAAAAATGGCAACGAAAATATTAAAACTAAAAGTGTTTATATCAATTTACCCGAGAAACATGATCTGAATCAGAATAAAAATAATGACGATCAAGTGGTAGTTTATTGGTATCGTTTGCCAAAATTTAAAGGTGTTTATTTGTTGTATTTGTTATTATTGCTGTTGGCCATATTTACAATGTGCCTGCTGTTCAATAGTTATTTGATGAAATTACTGAAATTTGAGAATATTTTAAAACTGGACTATGACTACTCGGTTAAAAGTGGCGCCATTGATCAATGTCAAATGCAACTGGTGGAAAGTATACCCATACATCTTAATTTTACGGAAAACAGTCCATCATTTATGTCCTCCTATGAAGCCTGGAAGTTGCTCTTGAACATCAGTGAAAGTTCTTTAGATATTGGTTCATTTTATTGGACACTTAGAGGTTTGGATGTTATCGAGGATCCCACGGCTGCTGAAGGAGAAGATATTTTTCAAAACTTAATGGATGTTGGATTAGAGGGCAAAGTTAAAATACGCATAGCCCAAAGTATGCCTACATATAAGGAGCCTGATCATGATACGCAGCTTTTACAGGAGAAAGGAGCTGCCCAAATACGTTCTTTAGATTTTGAGCGTTTATTGGGTGGTGGTGTTTTACATACAAAATTTTGGATTTCCGATAACAAACACATTTATTTGGGCAGTGCCAATATGGACTGGAGATCTTTAACACAGGTTAAAGAATTGGGTATTTTAGCCATGAATTGTCCCACATTGGCGCGAGATTTAAGCAAAATTTTTGAAGAATATTGGCTGCTAAGTACAAATGATTCAGTCATACCCCAGAACTGGCCTTCAAAGTACCAAACAAATTACAATTTTCAAAATCCTATGATTTTAAATGTCAACAATAAATACAATCAGTTTGCCTTGCTCTCTAGTTCACCACCGCCCTTAACTGCCAAAGGAAGAGTGGATGATATAAAAGCAATACTAAACATCATATCTAATGCCCAAGAATTTGTAAATATAGCCGTTATGGACTACTATCCCTTAATTATCTACAGTGCAAATAAGACTTACTGGCCATTCATAGATGATGCCCTTAAGGAGGCCGCCATTAATAGAAGAATAAAAATAAAAATGCTTATATCCTGGTGGCGTTATTCAAATCCCTCGGAGGACTTCTTTTTAAGATCTTTACAAGCTATTTCCAAATCCATGCCAGGTGTGGATATACAAATAAAACGTTTTGTGGTACCAGCAGATGAGCATGAATTTTTAATTCCTTATGGCCGTGTCAATCACAATAAATATATGGTAACCGATAATACAGCCTATATTGGTACATCCAATTGGTCGGGTGATTATTTTACCAATACCGCTGGTGTGGGTTTAGTATTGCCGGATACAGCAGAAGTAGCTAATAATGCTAATGGAACTGCTACTATACGCACAGATTTGTTAAGTGTTTTTGAAAGAGACTGGAATAGTCCCTATACTAGGGATTTAGAAATTGAAGATGTGGTAGATAACTGATCTCAAGGTGTATGATTGAAGTTTTATAATATTTTTTAACTGTTTTATTTACTTTTATATTATTTTTTACATTATTGTATGAAATTTATTATAAATATATTCAGATTTTTATTAAATTAGCTTCAAATTTGTTTAACTTTTTAAAAGTGTATGCATTTCGAATATTACTTGTTCCACATCTTGTGTTTACGAGAAACAATGTTTCATATCATAAAAAAAAACATACGTAGAAATATATTGGAATTGATACACAAAACATTTTAGCAGAGACCCAAACCTTCTCAACGGTAATAGTAGAAATACAAACCTGTAGATGCGGTTGCGTTATCTGGTTCCAAGAGAAAATGTAAATTAAATGGAGTGCGGTTGCGGATTTGTAGCCATTTTAAGGTTTTTGTATTTCATTGCTTTTCTTTAATAAAAAACGGTACGTTGCGGATGGTTAATTCTACCTTAAACATAACGGGACAAAATATTTAATATTTTAGACTTTAAAAATATTATAATATTAAAAAATTAACGTTTTAGTTAACGATATATTACATCTGATTAAAATCAGACGTTTTTGTTATTACAGTGTACAATACAACTCTGCAAGTTAAGAATACATATGGCAACACCTTTGAAATCAAAATAAACAAAAATTCCTCACAACAACAATTTCAAACTAATTTATGATAAATTTCCGTAAATCTGGTGAATAAATAAAGTAAATCCCTCCTAGAACAATGTATTGTCCCCTGGGTAATCATATATTACGTGGTCCGGGTGAATTCATAACAAATCCACGTCATATACGTTTTATCAACAAATTGTTTCCAGATTTTTTGGCCTCGGAAAAAGTATGTGCAAAATGTAAACAAGACATAGCAAATGCCTATGAATATAAAATAAAAAAAGCATTATCATTAAGGGCTCAAAATGGTTCATTAATTAGTTCCTATAGTACGGAAGAATCTATTGTAGTAGAAAGTCCTAATAATGAAAATTTAAGAAATATACAAAGAGATTTGTTAGCATCATCGACTTCATCAACAACAGATGATGATGATGGCCAACCGACTACAAGTGCCCAAGCAGCGGCTAAACGCAAACGACAAGAAGAACAAAAGAAACGAAAGCAAGAGCAAAATTTATTGGCTATAAATGTTCAAAGAGGTGCTCGTTTGCCACATATTCAGCCTGTTGCAAGGCGTCAACAATTTATTCATGCTAATCCAGATATAATGGATATTTACTTAAGGGGTACGACAGGGGGTTAACTTGAGAGATTAGTCTGGATTTAAAATGTTTTTCTTAAAAATTTATTCATATTAACTTATTTCTTGTAATTGAAATTGTAATTTTTTGTTGTGTTTAATTGGAAACTTAATTATTTTAACAAGATAGGTCCTCCATTTCTACAAAACGTTTCTAAATTTTATATTTGTGATTCTACTTGTTCATTCATTCAGAAAATAATTTTTAAATAGAGACAAGTACTAGTATTTTGTACCAGAAAAACTTTGAGGAATATTCACTTATTAATATACGACAGTTACTTATACTATCCCCTGATTTTATCAAATCGAAAGTAATAGATATATAGGGAAGACAGATAGAGATATTTAGTCATAATGTCAATATTCAGGTGGCCCTGAATACCACATATTTCATTCGCCATATACAGGACGACTGTACAAAAAGTTAGAACAACTACAATTTGGATTTGTTGGGTACCAAGAAGATAATGTATAAGGTGCAAGTTATACACTTAACATGCTCCTTTCTATTAAGTTTACACTTAATAGAAAAGAGCCTGAGTTAAAGAAAAGATTTCGCGTAAACTGAGGATCGCCTGACTTCGACCATTGTTCCATGTTACTCCTTTTTTAGCATTACCTCCTCGTTTCTCCTCCAATTGAAGCAAAATTGGCAGTTATGAATCTTTCATTCCGATCTTCTTAAGAAAAGTAAACAATTTTTGGAATTTACAAAAGCGATCGGAATAGTGACTACGGAATTGAAATTATTCCGATCGAATTGTGTGACGGGACTGTCGTCATTTTAAACAGTTCAACATGCGATGGCTTCTAGTATTTACATTACAACGACAAAAAAAAAAAAAAAAATGGCCCTTCTCAAAATATACCTTAATATGTCTTAAGATGTTACCCATTATATTTTGGGTAAAGAGTTGTCCATTCGCGAACTGGATTATTATACCAAGCTACAAAAAATCTTTATTTAAAATATTTTGAGTCCATCCATGGCCGGTCGTATACTTTTCTAAAAAGCCTCCGCTTGATATTTTCCATTATGTAAAGACTCGGTAACATGGAGGACAATTTAAATGTACAATAATATTTATAATTTTAACAATCAAAATTTTATTTTAAAGATATAATAGCGTTGTTTTAAACCATAAATTATTACTTCCGTCTTATTTTAGTTAAGTTCTGTTTATTATAATGTTTATTTATTTTTTCTATTTCGAAAATACATTAAATTAACCACCCGCGATCATTTTAATGTAAAGTGTAAATAAATACTACACGCACATACACACGTTTATTTACAACAGTTACACTCTCATACATTTGATTCTATATCCTTGTTATCCTCATTTATGTTACACTTATTAAATTGAACACTAATTAAAAGCTTACAGGAAGAACAACAAAAAGAAACGACAACAATAATAAACAAAACTAAATTAGTGAGAGAAGGGTGTCTGTAAAAGTTCCTTAAGAGGGGATTTTAATTATTTCTTTCGCCCCTCTCACTGTTTTAGTGATTGGGGACATGTGGTGTCTACGATGACAAGTCTCCATTCAGTAATGAGTAGTAAAAATATTACATTTACTCAGTCAGTCACTCATTCAATTGTTGTTTGTTGACACACTACAACAATGTTGTGATGTTGTTAGTAAAAACCCAATTTAAAGTAAATGAGTATAGTCTGTCTGTCAGTTTGTCCTGGGATAAATATGTACATCCTTATACTTACATATGCATACACATATATATGTTTGTAAGTACATGTTTTAGGATGTGTGTTTATACTTATTGATGTCGTTAATTCGTTTAGATTGTGCGAAATCACAGTGGGACTTCTGTACAAAAAGAGAGTCTATGCGTTTGAATTTTGTGTTTTGTATAATTGATCTTAATTAATTTATAGAAAATACATTTAGTTAAGGGAGGGCTATTTTGTTAATTAAACTGAAATGAAGCCATAGACACTGTTGTTTTGTGCCCTGTTCATAAAACTGCCAAAAAAATTGTATTAAAAACCCATAAATTGGGTTTATTTAATTTTATAGCACTATTTTAGAACGCATACATTTAATAGTTCTCGTTCTAGTGGAGACGAAGATTTTTGTTTGAAATTATCACATTCGGAATTGGTTCTGTGGAATCATTATGGATTTAATATACTCATGTGATGAGAAATGCACAAAGAACTAGGACTGTTCCAAAACTTATCTAAATATATGAGAAAAATGCACCATTTAACGTTGCCATATGCCAGGTGAGGACCATGTAATCCAAATATGAATTACTTCAGATTAATATCAAAATTTCATATAATTATGGGAGTACATGATCCATAATTATATCTTGTGAATCAATTAAATTATCTTCTAAAGCGTGCTTAACTGTTACTTCTTCGTCCTTTTGTTACAGGTTCTATAATTCTACACAATAAATAACTTCATTTTACTTTGAAAGAAGAGAGGTGAAGCATCGGATAAGTTTAGTAAAAGAAGAGAGAATAGAGCAAGAAGGATTAATCTGTCCATGTGAACTTAAAATCCCTTGATCATGTCGGCTATGTTGATTTTAAAACCAACCACTAGAACTGAACTAGAACTGAACTAGAACTGAACTAGAACTGAACTAGAACTGAACTAGAACTGAACTAGAACTGAACTAGAACTGAACTAGAACTGAACTAGAACTGAACTAGAACTGAACTAGAACTGAACTAGAACTGAACTAGAACTGAACTAGAACTGAACTAGAACTGAACTAGAACTGAACTAGAACTGAACTAGAACTGAACTAGAACTGAACTAGAACTGAACTAGAACTGAACTAGAACTGAACTAGAACTGAACTAGAACTGAACTAGAACTGAACTAGAACTGAACTAGAACTGAACTAGAACTGAACTAGAACTGAACTAGAACTGAACTAGAACTGAACTAGAACTGAACTAGAACTGAACTAGAACTAGAACTGAACTAGAACTGAACTAGAACTGAACTAGAACTGAACTAGAACTGAACTAGAACTGAACTAGAACTGAACTAGAACTGAACTAGAACTGAACTAGAACTGAACTAGAACTAGAACTGAACTAGAACTGAACTAAAACTGAACTAGAATTGAACTAGAACTGAACTAGAACTAGAACTGAACTAGAACTGAACTAGAACTAGAACTGAACTAGAACTGAACTAAAAGTGAACTAAAAGTGAACTAGAACTGAACTAGAACTGAACTAGAACTGAACTAAAACTGAACTAGAACTGAACTTGAATTGAACTAGAACTGAACTAGAACTGAACTGATCTAGAACTAAAACTGAACAAGAAATGAAAATTTCCATAGAAATTTTCTCTCTATGATGGAAAAACTGTCTTTAGAAATTGTCTCTCTATGATGGAGAAAAATTCTGTAGAAAATGAGTCTATTTTTTCGCTAGTTCATCAACTACACAGTTTCCCATTAAATTCCTAATTCACGTACCGATTTAAGTGCGACTGTTGAACGTCTCGCCATCCTATTATATGATGCCGGCCATTCCTGAACTAGTGTGGATGTAGTATATACTTCTTTTACGAATTTGATGGCAGCTTTAATATCTGTATAAGTTTGATTATGTTTTCTTTGATGAATAACTTTCGATATCATGGTCGAAATTTCCAACTTTCCTTCATAACTGTTTTGTTCATTATCCTTTAGAATGTAGGCTAAACCTTTTTCGTTTTAAGACGCTGCCAAATGTGATAATATAATAAGATGATAAAATGCTTTCTGGAGGCATAACGCTTGCATTTTGTCCCTAGATGTTATAACACAGCATCAATTTCTTTGAAGTAGGTATTATGTCGAGAACTCCAAGCCTTTGAAATACTGTCCATGCTTTCCATGTGTTTACTCACGAACCGTTTCATGGTTTTAAGCAAGAAGGAGTTATGAAGGTTCAGATCAAATCGTATAAAGATTTTCTAACATAGAGCTAATCGTGCAGCTTTAAATCTTCACTGGAACTTAAGTCAGAGTTTCGTTTAAGAATTCCCGGTTACGTCTAACATTTACCTTTGATTTCTGTTTGTATTAATCTTGAGAACGGATCGATTTGTATTTTGTCTGTTTTATTGATTCTCTTTCTTTGAAAGAGGTATTCTGTTAGAACCCCAAACTTTTCAAACGGGTTTTTGATATGTTTACTAAAGGTTTTATGATTTTGAGAAGAATGGAGGGCAAAAAAAGGTTAGATCTAACTAAAATTGATCAAAGATAATGATCTAAATAAATATGTGTTCACTTTCTTAAATTTTATTTTAAAGCATAATTAGCATCATGTTTTTAACAAATATTTATCTTAAAGAAATATAATGCTTAATTTTGTTTAAAGAATTAATTTGTTTTTTATTTGAAATATCTTCTTTTTTTATAAGTAATTTATAATTTACCTTTATTAATATTATTACCATAACAAATATATAGTAATAATAATTTTAGTACAGCTACAAGTATTTAACATTTTCTTCAATTTTTATTTTATTCACTTAATTTCAGTTTAATTGCAAATTTGTTTTTGGTTTCAATATTGGTTTTTTTGTTAATTTTTTTCTTTTTTATAATTTTGTTAACGCCAAAAAAAAACATTAAATTCAATAAAACAAACTTAAAATAGAATTGCATAAATTTTACACATAATTTCACTACTTGGACTAGATGCTAAATAGATTTACTTTGGTTTTGTGTTTTACTTACTACTAAAAATAAATATTACATGGTTAAATAATAATAATTATTATTAATTAAATAATTTTAAAGAAATATTTACTACTTTGTTATTTGTTATTTTTTTTTGTATCCACTCTGGTTCCTAATAATTAATTAATTAAACTTTTTTGTTATTTTAAACAAAAACAACTTAAAATTTTGAAAACAATATTCGTTGATATACTTTCTTCATTCGTTTGCTTTTGTTACTCTTTCTTCGTTTAATATGAAATATGAAAACAAAATAAAAATTATTAAAATAAAATTCTCAAAATCCTTTGGTTAGTTGGCATATTTATAAAAATTCCCGAAATGGTTCATCGAAATTGTTATTATCACCAGTTGAGTCGCCGTAGCCATTCATTATAATTGCTGTCTGTTGCAGTGGTTGCTGCTGTTGCTGTGGATTTGGCTGTTGCTGTTGTTGTG